ACATTCCCTGTTATGTTTGGTAAAGGTGCACAGGATTTTATGAAGACCTGAAAGATATGACCACCAGGATGCTTTTACAGACACATCATCAAGAGCTTGATTTTGGAATAATGTCTGTTGCACTTTCAAATGAATATATTGAATGCAGGTAGTAAGGTAAATTAGGTATTGTGGATGTGATGTAGAGAATTTATCAATAATGTTTGAAGGGAGGGAAGGGAGATCTTGATTTTTGAGTTAGTGATGAAATGGTTTATAATGGTGTTGATGTATTTTTTGGGTAAAGGAAATTGATGAATCTTAAATAATTTATATTTTATCTTTTAAGTTGGTTATCAAGATTTATTGTTATGTGGTTCTGACAATTTGTAACATATTGCCATGCGGCAGAGGAGAGGAGTTGTCCTAATGATTTTTTATTTGTCCAACTCATTCCTTGAGGTCAATATTGTGTATAGAGGGTATCTTGAATATTATTTATGATGGGTTCATTGGTGGTGTCAAGGGTGTTTTGGGATGTAGTTACAGCTTGGAAACATTGCCTCATATACTTGAAAGCACCTTCACTCATGTTGAAAGGAAATTGATCACTAAGGGTTATGTGATAAAGTGCTGTTTGGTTAGCCAATCAAGAGCCTTCAAAAACAATTTGAGTCATTCAACAGTGCTTTGGATTGCAGGCTCAAGATCTTTATCTTTAAGGAATCCTCCAAGTCCAGTTTTTATTGTGCATCATTTGTATTTTGTGTTTTTTTTTGAACAGATTTGGATGCATGATGTTTTTGAAATTTACAAAGGTTGCTTGAAGAACATGAATGATCAGTCCCCTTACAAGTTGGACAAGGACATTCTAGATATTTAAAAAAATTATATTAAGTGGATATTCCTAAAAAAATAAAGGCAGATAAATGGTAAATATTTACTTGATTTTTTTTTGTTGTTCTTTGTTTATGTCCTCATTTGCTTTTCTTTTAGCTGCATTTTTAGAAGATTCTGCATATGGTATATCTGTTTCTATATTAATATTTTTGCATTTTTTTGCAAGAATCTCTACTTTGTCATCACTGGGAGCTTTTTGTTTGCTTGTATGTATTAACATTGAAATGATAAAACAGAATTGACAAAATTCTAATCATGAAAAAAAAAATGGTTGAGAAAAAAAGTTGTTTTTTGGTTTAAAATGTTCTTTTGATTTCTTATAATGGATGATGATATTGTATTATTTGCCAAAGGAAATTGGAAGGAATTGAATAAATTTTTTTTTGGAAAGATTGAAAAATCACATCATTTGTTTACTTTTTATAAGAAAAGCATCATTTTATTATTAATTGACAATTGAATTGTTTATTGTTTATTAGCTAAAGATGCTATTTAATATTATTATCATTTATCCTGTTTTTTAGATTGTATCATTGATATGTTTATTACTAAAAATAAAACATGCATTTAATTGAGTTGATTATTTTTTTTATTACTAAAAACAAAAGTGCTGCGCATTTAACTAATTGATTATTTAATTACAGTGTGTAATGAAAAAAATTGACCTCCGTTTATTTATAATAATTGAATAAATATTTATTTAAATTGAGCATACAATAGCTTGTTTAAAAGCCTAAAACCAAGTAATTTATTGATATATATATTAATAATTGATTCATTTGCCGTTACTATCAATTATCATCTGGCAATGATTATTCATTGACGAAACAAGGTTAGACAACATAGGACTTGGAATTTTTTCCCATTCCTTGACCAAATACTGCCGCAACTTGCTAATATTTGCTGGCATATGCTTTTCTACATTATGTTTAACAATGCTCCATGGGTTTTCTATGGGGTTAAGGTCTGGGCTGTTAGCTGGCCGATCGATGACTTCAGGGAAGTACTCATCAAGGAAATTTTTGGCAACCCAACTAGTGTGCTTTGGGTCATTGTCTTGTTGGAATCTCCACTACCTACCAAGCATCCTTTGGATTTCTGGAAGGTGCTGGCGCAAAATTCAACATAAAACTCTCCATTCATGATCTCAGTAAAGCAAAACAAGCTAGCCTTCCCTTTAACACAAAACCCACCCCAGGCAAAGACTTTTTGTCGGTCTTTAGGAAGTGACCGAATAGGTTTTGGACCCCTATACCATCATTTTGTTGTGTTCCTAAACAGATGGAAGGCAGTTTCATCAGAAAACAAGGTCCTTTCCCAAATATCATTTAGGTGATTCCTAGCCCATTCAACTCGTCTTGCCTTGTGATTAACTGTGAGCATTGGGGTACCAGTTGGAAGTGCATTTTTGTAGCCAAGCTCTTTCAATCTTCTTGCTACAGCCATATGCAATACAGAATTTTCATTATTGGATAATTTTATTGCTAGGGTTCACAAAGATGTGGAACTGTCATTGCAAATGTATTGCTCAAGCTCATGCATCATTGCTGATCCTATCTTTTTTAGATGGCCATTACCTCCCTTATGTGAAACATCCCGGTTTCTTTTATTTTTTAATATTATATTTGACTGTTGATAGGGGAATGTTAGTTTTGTGTGAAGTTCCTTTGGAGAATGTATTCCTTGGTTCCAATAATAAAAAAGTGTTGAACGTTGCAAATCGAACTTGTTTGATGACATTTTTTTATGTTGACCAAACTAAGATTGATGGTTCAAAAATTTTGTTTTTACAACACAGGGGTTTAGTATGATTGTTTGATTTAATTGGATGGGATTTAATTACTTATTCGTGAAACTGTATGCTTTTGAATTTTGCATCATTGGAGGTCAATTTTTTTCATTACACACTGTATATGATGCAGATATATCTGCATTTGATAATGTCTCAATTGCAGCAGCACTTGTACCATTTTCTGCTAAATAAAGACCAAGGTCCAATTTGAAGGTATTTACAAATTTATTCCTTAAACCTGCTAAAAGATAACAATAACCAACTATTGCTTTTTTAGCAGGAATTATATTTAACATTTCATCAAAAAATCCTTCTAATTTTGGTCCACTCTCCTTGATTAATTGGCAAAATTTTATTGGATCCAATTCAATATCTGCGTTATATCTATGTTGAATATCTTGGTCAATAATTCAATTTTATTCGAAAAGGACAATTCATCTATAATTAAAATTTAGAAATCTTCATAAAAGAATAGATAGCTTAACTTACTTTTTCTTGAATCATTTTAACAAAATAATAAAAATGTAAATAAATACGAATAAAAATAAAATAAGAAATGAAATAAATAAATGTAGATATAAAATAAAGTAAAATAAAGTAAAAATAGAAATAAAAGATTTGATTCGGAATTAGGATATTTCGGCCAACAAATCAGCGTTAAATCCTAATTCTGGTAACAATATATAAAGAAATTTAATTTGAAAAAACAAATCATGTTTTTTTACTGTAAGTTTTTTTATCAAGTTTATCATCATAAGTTTTAATTATCATAAGTTTTAATTATCATAAGTTTATTTATCATAAATTTTTTAAAACTTTTAGGCAAGTAATATGTGATATGAGCCCATTATTATTATACAGAAATTTAATTAAATATTAGAGTAAAATATTTAAATCATTATTATTATAGTAATAGAGAGAAAGTCATCATATGAACTTTATTATTTAAATTGAATTTATAAAAATCACCAGACTTTTTCAATAAGCAAATAACATTTTTACCATTATGATTGAAAATTTAAATTAATTAAATATTGTATGTTGCAACACTTGTTCAGGATGACATCCTTTGATCTTTATCTACCTGACACAATTTAAGAATAAAATCTACAACAGTTTTAATTTCATTAATATCACTTCTAGTTGTTTTAAATGTGGAAAACCCTAGGTCACCTTTCATTATATTGTCATAAAGCTCAATACAATCCTTTGATCTTCCTTCCACTCCTTTAACATGATTATTAACATTCCAAGGATATTTTTTTGACAGCATATAGTAATTTACTATCCCAAATGACCAGATATCAATAGATTTGTCATATTCATATTGAGAAGTATCACCATCACTATCATTATCTGTTGTAAACATCGCAATTCTATCTTTGAATGCCTTGGCAAGTTCAGGCACAACAAATAAGGGTGTCCCAACTAAATCTGTGTTGGTCTGTTCAATATAATTGCCCATGCTGTCAATAGATCCTTCTATTTTTTTTGACTCACCAAAATCAATCAACCTAACTTGATTAAAATTAGAATCTGTAAACATGATGTTGTCAGGTTTGATGTCTCAATGCATTATGTGATTCTCATGAATGTACTAGAGGGAATAAAAAAAATTAAAATGTTACTATATCTAGTATAAAAGATATACAACTATGGTAATGTTTAAAATGATAAAATATAATATTTGAATACAATATTAATAAAACTATAATAAAATGTTCTTGTCTTTATAGCTGAACAAATTTGGAAAGTCAAATTTTTCCAATGTTGGAAATTTATAAAACCATTTAATGTTTTAATATAGTCCTCATGACTTCCTCCACTACATTCTCCTCATTATAATATTCTCATGGTCCAATATTTTCAAAATATCAATTTCATTTCTATATTCAATTATTCTGGTTTTGTCATATTTTCCATCACTGACATGGATAACTTTAGCAGCATAAATGTTTTTGTCACTACAGTTATTTGATCTAACTTTTTTAACAATGCATGATTTGCCAATTTTATTATCATTATTACTACCATCTTCATTATTTATAACATGATATCTTCTCCTGATTGAGCAGGTAAATGATTCTTTTCTTCTAAAAATCGATTGTAAGTATTAGTTTTGACATCTTCAAAAAATTGTACCTCTATATAAACATAATTGAATAAATTAATTGATTTATACTACTTACCAAAAATGTCCTCTTCAACCTTGATGTAAATTTTATCATTATTATTTAAAACCAATTTCTCATCCCAATCCAACTGTTTACTATTAACAAAAGTTTTCCTGTTCTGGCCATTTTTTATAACTGTTTCAAAATCTAATTCCTTGACATAATGCATGTTGTCTGTTTTTCTCTAATGGATGACAAATGATAGTATTATTATTATAGAAATTATAATGATTTCAATATGTGCATATAATAAATATGAATGATTAATTAAGCTATTGTTACTTACAATTTTAAGTATACATTGTACACTTGCAACAGATGGGTGGTTAATTCTCAAATTGGCTTTCAGGTCACACCCAATGGTTATCAGCTTTTTGGCTTCTGATAAAACAACCTTTTCATTTGAAAATACAACATATGGGATTGCTTTAGCTTCCATTTTAGCAATCTCAGCATTGTGCCTTTGTAGGCCAGGATGGATCATAACAACTTTTCTTGTAACTGGTGGTGGTTGTTTCAAAAGTATTAATTTTTTGTTGTTGTTGTTGTTGTTGTTGTTATTGAATTGTCTTGTTTTAATAATAATATTATTATCATCATCATTACCAGCATTATTGTCATTGTTATTACAACTCTTTACTTCTCTAAATTAATTTTCAAGTTCAATTTTGGCATCTTCAAAAAATTGCATTTCTATATAAATATAATTGAATAAATAAAATATTAATCAAATATACAAAACATAAACATATATGTAAATTAATTGATTTATACTACTTACCAATAAAGCCCTCTCAAGTCTTGACTAAAATTTATCATTGTGATTTAAAATATGTTCTTCGCTTGGTTCCAAAAAATTTTTATTAATAAAAGTTCTTTTGTTTGAACTATTTTTTATTAATGATTCATAACCTAAGTCCTTAATGTTTGATTTCCTCTAATGGAATTATAGATAATAATATTATTATAGAAATGATAATGATTTCAATATTGCATATAATAGATATGTATGATTAATTAAATTATTGTTACTTACAATCGAAATTATACAATGTA